GAATTCGAGGCCAGCCTGGTCTATAGAGCGAGTTCCAGGACAACTAAGGCTACACAGAGAAGCCTTGTCTCGAAAAACAAAAGAGTTTGGTGTGCTGGTGTACACCTTTAATCCCAGCATGGGGGAGGGGGGCAAAAGGCAGGCAGATCTCTGAGTTTTAGGGCTGTTTGGTCTACAGAGCAAGTTCCAGGACAGCCAGAGGTATACAGAGAAAGCCTGTATATAGAGAAAGCCTGTCTTGAAAAGACAAAAGAGAGGGGCTAGAGAGATGGCTCAGAGGTTAAGAGTACTGACTGCTCTTCCAGAGGTCCTGAGTTCAATTCCCAGCAATCACATGGTCGCTCACAACCATCTGTAATGACATCTGGCGCCCTCTTCTGGCCAGCAAGCATACAGACAGACAGAACACTGTATACATAATAAATAAATCTTTTTTTTTTTTTTTTAAAAAGGCAAAAGAAAAAACTTTTCTACGCAGTTGTCTCTGCGTAGCTGAAGTCATAGCTGAAGTGATTTGTGAAAGTAGCACACAGTAGGCTTACAGCTCAGTCTTGGGGAAAACTAAGCAAGAGTTATGTATGGTTGAGATGTAAAACAATCAAGTCAGATGGTAGATGGTAGCACGTGCCCAGCACTCATGGAGGAGCAGTGTGTTGAGCTGTGGCCTGGTACTAGGAACAGCTATGTGTGTGGGTTGATTTGGGGTCACTGGAGGACTCACCCATGAAGACATGCCAACAGACATATTAGGTTCATGCATTTCTCCATAGAATTGCCAGTGCATGCCCCTGCAGACACTGCCTTGTCTTGTTGTTTTAGGCCTGGCCCTTCCCAGATGTGCTAGAGTGCTGCCTTGTCTTGCTTCACATCGGGTCCCAGTGGCCTGGTGCCGTGAACTCTGAGATGCAGCAACAGGCCGAGGAGCTCCTTCAGAAATATGGCCACACTAGAGCTTACAGAAGATACTGCCAGACCCTGCACACATGAACTTCCAGAGGCCATAAAACCGTGTCACACATGTAACAGCTTTCTTCTCAGTCACAGCTCACCTGGCCTTCACCCTGATCTTCAATGGAAAGATGCTGTGATCACCTGACATCTGAGGGTGAAGCTTGGATCCACTTACAATGGAACCCGCCTGGTGCCTCCCAAGTGGTCTCCTGTAATGGAGCAGAGAGCCAGCAGGGTCGCTCAGAACCAGCCCTCACCAAGACTATCGTCTCCAGCCTTACGTGGTTTCCCCAAAGAGAAAACCTTTGTACTCACCCAAAGTCTGTCCATCCCAGATGCAGCTGCCTGTATAAATCCTTACCTTCGGAAGCGTAGCATTCTGTGGGAGGTGCATTCGACACACAGCGCTGTTGGGTTAGGGCTTTCCCACTTCTCAAAGACTAAAGGAATTGGCCTTGCCCATCGTGTTGACTTAAACATTAGCTTTCTGAGAACAGAGCTAATGGTGTCCTCCAGATTTTGTGACATGACTGGTGGTGGTCAGTCAGCTCAGGAAAAAAATCACTGTTAGTGGTTCTTTAATCTTTGGGGTCATAAAACCCTTTTTGAGAATTGACTAAAACACAGCCTGGAGAACAGCGCCTATTTCCTCATTTTACCTGTGCCTCCCAGATCATTAGACTTCACTTTACACCCTGGAACCCCAAGTCCTATTTATTCACCAGCCCTAGTTACCACACAGCAGGACAGGTCAGAGGCTGATGCCTCCACCATCACTGCTGTAGAATGGGAAAAGCAGATGTGCTCAGGTTGGGTGGGCAAAGCATACCTTCTTCCTGTCTGTCTTGAGGTTCATTGTGAAGGCTTCATCTGTGGGCATCAAGAAATAGTCCCAGCTGGAACTCCATGGGATGTGCATTTTGAGATAATTCTGTGTGCCTGGCTTTGGGGGTCTAAAAAATGCTAAGCCCCAAGAAAAGGAAGTACTGTACCATTGTATAAACTCTAGGAAGATGCACTGGTTTTAAAGGCAAGAGACTTGACAAATGTGAGTGGGTTTGACTACATAAAGGACGGGATAATTCCAAGCATTTTCATCTACAGAACAGGAAAGGTTAGCTCCCTCCACTTGAATAAAGAGTAGTTGGTAACTACAAACTCACCTTTGTGATTTGCTGAAACCAGCACTTGTTGGGAGCAACCCTGCATACTGCAGTAACCTCTGTTACTGCTGGGAAAAACCAGAAGCAGGAGGAATTCAATCAAGTCTAGCCTGGACTCTGAAGCAAGACCGTGTTTCAGAAATAGTCGTAATAATCCAATGAGCTAGAGTGATGGTTCAGGTTAAGAGCACTGGCTGTTCTTCCATAGGACCTGGGTTCAATTTTAACCACACATGGTGGCTTACAGCCATCTGTAAGTCCAATTCCAGGAGATCCAACACCCTCTTCTGACCTCCACATCACCAGATACACCCATAGTACATAAACATACACATTCACCCAATAGAAAAATGAGAATGACAGCCGTTTTCCTCTTCAACTGCTCATTTCAATAATGTGTGTTATCAACTTGCTAACATTTGGATATTATTACTTCTGTATCCCCTACTTATGAGAATCACAAAGTCAGAGATGCAAAGCTGTTCACTCAAAGTTCTAGCAGAAAGCATGTATTACTAAGCAATCTTTAGGGGGATGGTCTAGACCCATTCAGTTACCTTGCTCTGCATCTGCTCGTAGTGCTCCCTACTCCTCCAGCAATGACTGCATTCCCTTCTCTTTCTGCACCTCCACCTCCTGCCTCTTCTCAGCACCTTGCCCTGCATGGAGTCTTGTCCAGCTGCTGCCACCTTGAATTTTTCCCTAAAAAACACTCCCTGTCTCTTAATCTCAGTGCCCTTATACAGTTCAGGCTATATGTGTGTAAGTCATTTACTGTCTGGCTACAGGTAGGTTACCTGCAGTGGGGAGGACAGTGTCGTCAATTGCTCATTCCAACACTTAAGTAGATACTTAGTGAAAGCTCATTGGCTGAATAAGCTAAGAAACTAGTAATTTGCAAACACAGGGCTCTTCATTCCCTCCCCCCACACACACACCGCTAGTACCTCCTCCACCAGAGGACACCCCCCTTCATTCAGCCCTGAGCTCACATGACAGCTCTCGTGGCTGTCCTCTAGCAGCACCTCTTGTATGTAGTGCCAGGTCCACTTTTCATCTTGGCAGTCTTAGTCTGTCCTCGGAGAAAAGCGGAATTCTTTGAATGTTCCCGTCCCTTTCTAAGACCCAGTAGCACGCCAGAGCACTGTTACTGAGAGCCACTCTGCTGCCTTCACCAGAGACCTCACAGGTATCTTAGTGCAAACCCACCAGCACAAGTTCTAGATCTGTTGGGTACAGTGGTGCAAACCAACTCGCTATTCAGGCAGATGGCTCGAAGATCAGGGCCAGCCTATGTAACACAAGACCCTGACTAGAAGGACCCCAATACCTGACTATCTACCTTTTTGTGCCAATAGAAAAGTCTGGAAAAAAACTAACTTAAGTCTTAAGTTCGAGGTGTCCTGCAGAATTCCCTTGAGCCTAACCCACTATTTATGAGTGGCCAGGGAGAATACAATTAAAACTATTCTGTCCTAGTAAGGCCCAACAGCCAGTAAGGCCCTCAATGAGACCTTCCTTCCAAGGCTGATTGGTTCTGAGGTACACCAATCCTGTCACAGATACCAGTTCCTAGCTACCAAAGACCACACCTCATGCCAGTGGTTAAAAAGCAATCTTTATTTTACAAAATTAAAAACATAAATAATATTTACAAGCATCTTAAATACCAGCTTTAATACTTGACATTTTGTAATCATTTCAAATTCAGTTTTCCACAGCTTTTAAAATGGAAGCCCACTGCTTCGATGAGCTGCTGCCATCTATCTCTGCCTCCCAAAGAAGTTTCTGCTTTCTCAAAATTGTACTTTCTATAGCTATTTAAAAGCCAGTGTGCTCCTAAATGCCTAACCTTGAAAAAATCATTGGCTTCTGAGCACAGCTGTGGGGATGGTTCTACAGGTCTGGGGTGAATTCCCTTGCTGCCCTGCTCACAAGTGATTCCTGTGACATTCCAGAGCTCAGCTTTACCACCTCTTGACAGCTCAGACTTGCTATTTCCATTTATAAATAAATAAATGGAAGCTAAGAACACAGCTGATTGAGATCACTCTGCTGAGAACAAAACAGACTTGGAGCATGACCTCGTCTAGGGCAGTTCATCTGGAAAGGTGACTGGGGAGACTCGGGTGTCACCTTACCACCACAAAAATGAGACTCTGAACTCTGCAGATTTCAGCAGAGCAGTCATTCACTGTCAGGACTGCTCTGTCCTGGAGATGTACTGACAAAGGCAGGGCAGCCTGCTGGTGCAGCCCTACTTCTCAAGAACATACGCCATGTTCCCTGGCAGCCTCAGCTCATCTGAGAATCTTCATCAGAGCAGCAAAGCCAAAAGAAAAAGAATGACAACACTTAAGAGTCTTATACATTTTACTGGTTTGTTTCAGACATCCTGGAGGTTTAAAAAGGTGTCCATGGAGCCATGGATGCTGGTGGCAGGAGGCAGCAGAGGGGCGTGGGCATGAGGACAAGGAAGACTTGTTTACAAATTCAGAGCAAACCCCCTTCTGGATCTAAAATAAAGGCATCTTTAAACAGAAACCCAAAGTCTCTGCTCGGAGCAGATGCAGGTCAGTGGCTGGGGCAGATGGCACAGGCAGCATGGTGCACGTGCTATCACTGCTGGGGCGGTTGGCACAGGCAGCACAGTGCACGTGCTATCACTGCTGCATGGTGTTGATCATGGCCAGGATGCTCATCTTCTCCTGGGCAGAGTCCACATCCTCATTCTGCTTCTGAGCCACTCCCGTGCCCAGGCCATAGAGGCGCCCACAGTACTTGGCATCATCAATACTGTCCTCAAAGAATAGCTGCAGAACAGGACAGAACTAGCTGAAAATGGGGCCAGGAGTCATGCTACCTCCCAGCTTCTTATGCCCTGACACTCAACAGACTGGACACTAACTCAGCAATGACACCAAACATCTGCATAGGCTCTTCCTGCTCCTTTCTCTACATTGGGGCTCTGCTTCCAAAACAGACTTGGCATTCCTATGATTTGTCACTGCTGGGAACCCTGGGCTGCTGCCAGACAAGGCAGTGATTAAGAACTCAGGCTTGCCAAGTCATTTCAACTCCATTTCATTCATGGTTCCTTATATATAAAAGTCTTGAAAGCCAGGTGAAGTGGCACACATGTAAGCCTAGCACCTGAGAGCTGAGGCAGAAAGTGACTGTTTTAGGAGATCATGGACAATGAGCATTGAATAAGCAGCTCAACCTTAGTATCACTGAGCAGAAACTGTCAAGTCCAATCACAAAATGTTGAGCACAGCCTGGCCAGAAGAACCACCTCTGCTAAGTATAACAGACATCTCCTAGGCAGCTGGCAACCACCGACCTAATACACTTGTTACTCTTTAGATGTACTATGTTCCTAGAAGTCCTTGTGTTGAAGGCTTAGCACCAATTTGTAGGGTTACTAGGAAATGGCAAAAACCTTACGGTGAAACTGAGTGGGGGTAAGTGAAGTTGTCAGGACCTCCCATACTCAGCCTCTTCTCTGTTCCCAAGTCACCAGAAGATGAACAGACTTCCTGTTAGCTCTAGCTCACCAAAGCAGACAGAGCCAGCCAACCAGTAGCTAAAATCTCTCAAGTTGTAAACCAAAGTAAAATAGTCCTTTGAAGTTGATGGCCTCAGGTATTTTGTCAAAGCCACAGTAAAGTAGTAATGAGTAAACTGAACTCATTAATAGGGTTAAAAGCAGCAAAAAAGAAATATAATGCCGAGTGGTGGTGGCACACACCTTTAATCCCAGCACTTGGGAGGCAGAGGCAGGTGGAGCTCTGTGAGTTCGAGGCCAGCCTGGTCTACAAGAACTAGTTCTAGGATAAACTCTAAAGCTACAGAGAAACCCTGTCTCAAAAAACCAAAAAGAAAGAAAGAAGGAAGGAAGGACGGACGGACGGACACATACTAACCAGGCATGGCAGCTCACAGCTGTAATCACAGACTTTAGGAGACTGAGGCAAGGGGATAGCCATGGGTTCAAAGACAGGCATAAACCTTTAATCCCAGCACTCAAGAGGCAGAACAGTTAGATCTCTGTATAAGAGTTTAAATCCACCCAGGGCTACACAATGAGACAGGATAACCAAAAACAATAAAAGAAAAATGCCAACAAAGTTGTAATTTTTTTCCTTGAGACAGGGTTTCTCTGTGTATCCCTGGCTGTACTGGAACTCACTCTGTAGACCAGGCTGTCCTTGAACTCAAGAGATCCACCTGCCTCTGCTTCCTAAGCACTAGCTGTGATTAAAGGCGTGCATCACAACTGCCCAGCTTTCACTGTAATTTTTCAAAGCATGTTCTTTTTCTTCAAACATTTTAAAAGTTAAAGAGTAGATAAATAAACTGCAAGTGAAAGTTATTCTTCATTAGAGAAATAATCCTTGGTCCAAGTAGGTAGACTAACAAATAAGATTCCTTCTGTAAAAAGCAGAAGATAAAGGAGAAGCTGCCTGGAAACTCAGGCCCCGCACTCAGGGGCTTCCACTGGAGCATTACCTCTTTCATCCTGAAGAAAGCCATCCCTGTCAGCAAGGAGTCTGAGCCTGCTTGGTGCTGCCTTCCAATCCTCTGCAGATCCAGCTGGTCAGCTACCTCCTGAAGACCTCCCTAGAGCACAGAAAGCAGAGACATCACACCAACACTCTTCTCCTGGACTCAAGTTAGTCTACTCAAGAGTCCAGTTAGCGGTTGAACAGGCCTCAGTAGCTGTTTTTAGATCTTCACTCTCTTCTTCCCAAACAAAACACATGAATGTGCATGAAGAGATGAGATTTTCCCAAGTCAGTTCTCTCCTATCACACAGGCCGCAGACATCAAACTCAGGTCCACCAGGTTGGCAGAGACACCTTCACCCACTGAGGTATCCCACAGGCCCAACCTCTTCAACTGTTTTGTTTTTTTGTTTTTTTGGAGACAGGGTTTCTCTGTGTAGCCCTGGCTTTCTTAGAACTCTGTAGACCAGGCTGGCCTCGAATTCATAGAGATCAGCCTGCCTCTGCCTTACGAATGCTGGGATTCAAGGGGCACACCACCACTGTCTGGCCTTTTTGAACTTATGGGCTAGAGAGATGGCTCAGCAGTTAGGAGCACTGGTTGCACTTCAAGAGGTCCTGAATTCAGTTCCCAGCAACCATATGGTGGCTCACAACCATCAGTTATGAGATCTGGCACCGTCTTCTGGCCTGTAGGCAGACATACAGACAGAACACTATACATAGTAAATAAATAAATCTTAAAACCCCTCAAAGAATGTGAGACAGTGTAGGAAGACTGTCTTAACATACTGCACATGGCTTCCTGTCACCAACGACTTTGAGGTTCTCAGACCTAAGAGGAAAGCAGCCAGACTCAAGATGCAAGAAATAGGGCTCTTTTGGTGCCAAGTTCCAACAAAGGCAGCTACAGAGGAAGTCCTGCGCCACTCAGCTCAATCAGCACCCTCTTTAGAGAAGTATGGCAGGTCTCAAAAAAAAAAAGCTGAATATAACAGTAAAGCAAGACATGTCGAGTTTAAGGTTTGCTTGTTTTATTACAAATACTAAGAATGTTGTTTATTACCTTAAGATTTTTGCAGCTTTTCATCAGGTATTTCACATCATAAATAGATGGGAAGAAAAGATTCAAGATGTGGAAAAACTCATGTTCTTCTTCTGGCAATCGAGAATCTGTAAGCAACTTTACCATGTAGCCAAAGTCATAACCACTGAGGGAAGAAGGAAGCAGGGGTCAGAAAGCAGCTCCAGCCCAGCCTGAGACCACCTGAGGCTGGGGGCTTGATTAATCTCAACTTCCCATTCAGTAAGTACCTAGGGCAAGCTACTATGGGAAGTAAACAAGAGCCTGAGAGTTTGTGTGAAATTCAATTCATCAAAACTCAAAAGTAAGGCTTTAGGGGCCATAGAGAAGGATCAGCTAAAAGTAATCATGAGGATCACAGTTCAAATCCTAGCACCCGTATCAGATAACTCACAAATTCCTATAAATTAAGCTCCAAAGGGTCAAACCACACACACACACACACACACACACACACACACACACACACACACAC